TGGAAATTAACTCCTGGCACATATTTTGTTCTGGGCTGTAATACTCCTATTAAGATTGCCCCTTTTTAATAGCTTTTGAAAGAATCTCTTGCATAATGGCATTTTAGTCATCATGTTAATGTCAACAAACAAGGCAGATTAATGCTTATAATCCTGAGCTGTCTCACACTCTGCTTATTAGAACTGTAGGCAGATCTTCATTAGGATGAATGACATCTGAATCTATAAGCTCATCACAACAGAGGCACCTTCTTGCTGTGGTGTCACCCTGCAGATGACAATGTCGGCCATTATGAATGACACTCCACAATTCGTTACTTCCTGCCTCAAATTGCAGTTAATCTTTCATCCAAACTGTACACATGTGCAGCTTTAAGTGGGCTATCACAGCAAGTACCCAGTAATGCTGCAAGCACATGGAGAATGACAGAAGGTAAATTGCTTGTCAGGAGGTCTGTATTTCAATTCACAGCATATTCCAAACACGTTGTGGTGAAAGCTCTCCACAACAGCTGCTTTCATTGCTAACTATTTTTGATGTAAATGTCAATAAAGCTCCAGGCCCTTTCATATTTTTGGCCAAGACTGTCCATCTTTCCCTATGCAGGCTGGCAGGTTGAGCTCCATTTATCTACTCTTAGGAACATGTCCTATAATAATGATTGTCTCTGGAGACCGTTTAGAGTGATTGAAAGCAGTGATTGGGACAATAGGCCGCTGAATTTCATTGCTGGATTGGGTTGACAGGTGACTGCTTTTATATCCTCTGGAGGAGAGATGGAAATAAAAACACAGTTATATCTAATCAACAGACAGGCATCTACCGATTGCAAATCTATACCTTCAGCTTACCCTTCTCATCGGAACGACTTAACCACGCATTATTACAGGACTCTCATATTTCTCCAGTGGTGAGAGGGTTTTCAGGAGGAAGGAAGATAGAGAAGATATGTGTTGCCCCACTAGAGGGGAGAAGTAGGGAAAGAACATGTCACAGGCCATATAGCTCTACCAGTTTCACCGCCAGCTGCTGCTTTTAGTAGCTGCAGTTAAGATCATCATTTTGATTTAATGAAAATCCCTGGGTGTTACAGAAAAAAGGAATTTCATTTTTAATCAAAGATGCCATGAATGTTACACATTGTCCATGAATTTTAACACACTGATTGTAACAGCATCCTTTTTTTAGTCTTGCATTTAAGCAAAAGTTCTGTAAACTCATTAAGCTTACTGTGGATATATTTTTCTTTCATGAAGTTGGTAATTAACATACCACTGGGTTTTCCAAAAGAGATGGGAAGATGATCAGGTAGAATTCTGAAAACAGTATGGCAAATGGTCTAAAATATTCACTCTGCACCAGCATCTGGCTGTTTGGCAGACCCCAAAGACAGTTGTGCTGGCACCTTTGAAATTCCCTGTGAGTCCATGTAGTTGCCCATGGTTACACAGCAGCTGGGATCTGGCTTCCCTGCTACCACATCCCCCCCACCTTCATTCACCTTTGCTTCTGTAAACCACATGCCCTTCTGCCCATCAGAGATGCCCATGTTGTATCCATTTCCCCCTCTTATTTTCAGGCTAGGTAGAAGAGTTTAAGTGAGAGTTTACCCTTTCCCATCTCCTTTTGTCTAAATCCGTATTGGTGTAGTTTTGTTCACATTTTACACTGATTTTTGTTTACTAGATTCTCAATTTCTGCAATACTGAGCAGCTTTCTGTAGCTCTAGGCAATGCTGACACAAGTTGTGAGAACAATATGATTAAAAGCAGCTAACTACCCAGCTGTTAGTCACATATCTGACAAAAACGTAATTCAAAAAACTCGACGCTGAGTTCTACCCTTCAATTAAAAAAACCCAAACAACTGAATGCTGTATGAATTCTATAAGTCTTTAATAACAGCAATTTTATTTTGAAATTTTGAGGGTGTATTGGGTTTGCATGGCAAGGTTTTGGTAGGGGGGGGCAACTGGTGTGGCTTCTGTGAGAAGGTGCTAGGAGCTTCCCTTGTGGCCAGTGGGTCCAATGACAGCCAGCTCCAAGATGGGCCTGCTTCTGGCCAAGGCCAAGCCAATCAGCTATGGTGGTAGTGCCTCTGGGATAATGTGTTTAAGAAGGGGAAAGAGAAAACCAGGGGTTGGAGCAGCTGGAGAGAGGAGTGAGAATATGTGAGAGAAGCAACTCTGCAGACCCCAGGTCTGTGAAGAAGGAGAGGGAGGAGGTGCTCCAGATGCTGGAGCTGAGATTCCACTACAGCCTGTGATGAAGACCATGGTGAGGCAGGCTGTCCCCCTGCAGCCCATGGAGGACCCCATGATGGAGCAAGTGGATGTGCCAGAAGGAGGCTGTGACCCTGTGAGCAGCCCATGCTGGAGCAGACTCCTGGTAGGACCTGTGGACCCATGGAGAGATGAGCCCACACTGGAGCAGCTGTGAAGAATCTGTGGAAAGGACTCACATTGGAGAAGGTTGGGGAGGACTATCTCCCATAGGAGCAATGCCACACTGGAGAAGGAGCAGGGAGTGAGGAGGAGGGAGCAGCAGAGACAACATGTGATGAACTGACCATAGCCCCACTTCCAGTCTCCCTGTGCCGCTGAGGGGGAGGAGGTAGAGAAATCAGGAGTGAAGTTAGGTCTGGGAAAAAGAGAGGGGTGGGGAGAAGGTGTTTGAAGATTTAGTTTTTATTTCTTATTACCCTACACTGATTTGAATGGCAATAAATTAAATTAATTTTCTCCAAGTCAAGTCTGTTTTGCCCAGGATGGTAATTGCTCAGTGATCTCCTTGTCCTTATCTTGACTCACAAGCCTTCCATCTTATTTTCTCCCCTCCTTCATCCAGCTGAGCAGCAGAATGATAGAGCAGCTTGGTGGGCACCTGATGTCCAGCCAAGGTCAAGCCACCACAGTGGGAAAAATATCTACTATGTGACAAATCGTCATAGAAACTTTTATTTCTCCATTGAAATAAAACCAGCTCATTTGAATTAGGTTCATATTATAGATTCAATGCAAATTTCCTTTGGAAAGAGAAAAAGATGCAATTATTTCAAATTCTTGAATAACAATTTTTTATATACTTTTGCCTAACTTTAGCTGTATATTGCCAAAGGATTCCTTTTTGGTTTAAGGCCCTAAACTCAGTTTGGAATGTTCAAAACTATTATAAACACTGGGACCCTTGTATCAGATCTGCGTGCAAACTTACCAGTTTGTGCAGATTTCCACAAACTGGGGATAGGAATACTTGATGTGTTGCAGGCCATGTGAGGAGGCTGGAATGCCATCTTAGTGGATGTTACTGCATGCAGAAAACTTCCTAACTTCTAAATATTATGGATTTGCTGACTTTTAGTGCATTTCTTGACAATCTTTCATCCAATTTTCTTTTTAGAAAGAAATAGCACCTCTTTACAGAGAAAGTTACTGAGTGTCACTACCTCACTACAGAGCCAAAAGCACTGCAGTGAAAATACAGAATCTTGTTCTAATTTACCGTTAAAAAGAAAAAAAGTTTAGTTTTATTCACAGAGCTACAGAAATACATGAGCTTTCCATCAGATGGGAGCAGATTGCCATAGAAGGACACTAAGAAAGAAGGAAAAGCAGGGAAATGAATACCAGATTATTTAAACAGAGAACATAAAATAATTTTGCTCATTTGTAGAAGTGTGATTGTTCACTCAAGTAATAGTTTTTAGAAAAACATTGTCCAAGAACTTGCAGTAATTGTTCTTGGATTGTTTTTATGGGCAAGCCACCAAAGAAATATGACCAGCCAAGGCAATTGTCTATAACTTCGGAAACAAAAGTGAAGAAGCTGTTTACTGGCTTGCTTTTTGGTTTATTTATGTAACTTCCCAGAACATGAGTTGCTGTCAGATGTCTTTTGTAACCAGCTTTCACCTTTGATTCTCTGTGCTTATCTAGAGAGATATATAAAAGATTTGACATATGGTGCCATGTACATTGAACAACTTAGGTTTGCTGAGATCTTGTGTAAATATTTTTTGTAGATTTTCCCTTCTTCAGCATTGCTGTGGCTTAGATAAGCCCTCTCTTGAACTTTGTGCAGAACTCATTCAGTAAAGACTTATGTTAAAATCACTCACCCAGAATAAACGTCTACTAGCACTAGATGACACCTCTGATCTTCCATGGAGGTGTCCATGGGGTGGAATATGTTTGATAATGCGTGTGTGCATCCCCCACACCTCTTGTAAAAAGAACTCAGTATCTGTTGAAGATTTTGAAATATCAGTGTTAGTAAAATTCTAATCAACTGTCCTCAGCAGAGGAACCATGATCTGGTATTTCTATTGTTAACAGACATTTTTCTCTAATAGTTACAGGTCTGAACTTTCTTTCAGAATGTCATTAGATTTTAATATAATTTATCCCATGTACCATTTGGCACCTCACTGAGGTAAGCTAGGCTCAGTAGAGGGAGAGAGAGATGTAGTTCAAGGCTGTGAATCCTAATGCACCAGCACAAAACCCAATCAACCTAAGTTGAAGGGCACCTAGATTGCTAACTTAGTCACTTCAGTTACAGTACTAAAGTTAAACAGGATGAATCACCCTCCGTAAGGTTAAAGTCAATGTAGATATAAACCCACTTCACCACTCCCTGGCATACTGGGGTGTCACACACTAAGCTGAAGTGAGACATTATCAGCCCTGAAGAGAGGGTGGTTTATGGTTATTCCATACTCAGTGAAGCACTGTGTGAAACAGCAGCCTGATGCACTGTGCCAGATCTACAGTTTTCTACTAAAAACATTTCTCTGAGGAAGGCCAATATTCCTGGCCTTGCCAGGTATGGAACTGTTGGTTTTAAATTTCTACTGTGTGCTTTCATTCTTCACCAGAGTCCACAATGAAAAATTTCAGTAAAAGTATTCATTGCGTAAAAATGAACTCTGGAGTATTACAATATTCAGTAAGCTAAAGAATACTTTAGAAGACCAACTTGAAAGTCTGATAAGAGCCTGTGTCACATCAGCAGTGCTGTAGCTGTCCTGTGGTACAGAAAGAGCATGTGGCTTTTGGTGAGCATACTTAGCTTACAATATTAGATGAATAATTGTTCTAAACTTCCCTTAAAAAGAGATGCAAGGCATAGCCTGGAAAATGTCACAAGCAGTAAAGCAAATTTTTGATCTATGAGCATATGAAAAAGGTAAAGTGTCTAATAAAGACCTTTTATTTACAGTAAAGTGATTTTTTATTGTCTATAATTTTCCCATTTAATTGTTCACAATGAAGGAGTTAATGTTCAAGAGAGGAGTTCCAATTAGCTCACATCAAAAAGTCAGAAAGAGAGTTTGTCTTCAGAAAGGTGTATCACTATCCTGCAGTTCCTGCAACCAGTGCAGTGTCAGACACGTGTCTCCTGAAATCTCGAATCAGCTTACCGAAAACACATCTACCATGGTCTTACAACAAATCATTGAGGAAGCAAATTTATGTGATAGTGACTGACTGTTACACAATTAAATGTGATGGCATGAGGTATCAGAATAACATGGAAAATTTGTCCGTTGCTATATGTTATGTAAGGGATGATTCATCCCTGAAAATATCTCAGAGAAGAGGTGCAACTCAATCATCTTCATGCCAACTGCACCTCTGACATGATTATTGCTCCTTTGAAAGCAGCTGAGTTCTTTTCTAGTGGCATCATTAATTTGTGCTATTATAAGGCCAGTATGAAATTTATGAAGACGAGTTGGCATATAAATACACGTCCAGAAGGAATGTGAAAAGGAAATACATTGAAGTATGCATGATTTCAGGCATCTATTTCATTGAGTAGGGCATGTCTTGAAAAGAACATTTATGAAAATGTTCCAAATGGTGATTGCTGGGGCAATGGTGGGGTTTTTTTCCATTTTTAAAATGTTTTGTTAGCTGCTGTTGTTGGCATGATGATAAGGAAGAAAATGAAGAAATGTGAAAGGAGAAGAACAAAACTGACAGCCCATCTTTTCTAACACTGATATATATATTTGCTATTCTAATATCCTATAATGCATTATTACAATGGGAATTTTGATTGGTTCATCCATTCACACAGTTGGAGTCCGTGGATTTGAATAGTCTTTATTGGAACAGAACATTGTAAGCAACCAACATAAAGTCTGACCAGGCAAAGATTTGACCTCGTAAAGTCTGTAACTGGACTACTGTTTTTGATATCAGCATAGATCTGTACTGGAAATATGCTGGAAAACCCAAACAACTATTTTACTAGTTTGATTGCAATATCCTAACGAAGTTTTCCTGCTCTGCCGGTTAGAGTCTCTTTAAGATTATCTGACCAGAAACTGGAAAGAGAAGAAATACTATCAGACAGAAAGCTTTAAGTTGCTAATGTTTTTTATAAATGTTTTATAAATGTGTCAGAGAATCCCATGACCCACTCACAGAAAACCTGCAAGAGAGAGAAAAGCCACGCTGTGTAGCATCAGGAAAAATGTAAACCCCAGAGAAATTCCCCTTAGGATCTGAAGTTCACGACATGTCAGGCGGACCCTTTGTATGAGGCTGAATCGCAGTCTAACAAAACAAAGCTCTACTGCATGAATACCACAGTAATTGACATTATCTATTTATCACTGCTTGCAAGGGCTTTTTTTTCCAAGAGATATACTGAACTCTGATTAGAACCAGTGATGGAAATTGGGGAGAAAAGGTGTAAATATTTCAGGCATACATTTTTTTTAAGGACGTAAGAAGGGGTAAGAAAAATTTTCACACTCTTTTTGCATCCTTCTGGGGTATTGATCAACCTTTTGTATCTTGAATACTGTGGGCCTCACCAATAAACCATTTCAGTTGTTTTAGACTAAAAAAGTTTCTGGCATGGGTCAGAAAAACCAGGCAACAGATGCTGCACACATAACTTAGAATGTGTCTCCACAAAAGAGTGAAAAAGTTTAAAAGCCACAAAGGAGAAGTTTGAGGAGCTAGCTACCTCCTTGCTCCGTGCATAGGTGTGGATGAGTCAAGTGAACACACAGCACGAAGCTGGCTCTTAATTTTCCCAGTGCACAGGCTTGTGTTTATTAGTAATTCCCCCTCACTTTTGTGCAGGCACCAAGTCTGCACTCTTTAGCTGGCTGCCAGCAGGATGGTAGATTGGGCTGGGGAGGGAAGGGTTGAAGAAGGGAATGTGGGAGCCCTTGCTCTGGGAGGGTGGCACGGGGCTGTCAGAAGTGAGCAGGCGGTGCCGCAGACAATTGCAAGCAGGGGGGAGAGTACACGCTTCTCTCGTAGCTCCCTTTGATGCCTGGATCAGATCGTCTCTTGGACTAGCAAACTCTAACACCTCTTCTGAAATCAACTCCAACTGGTGATGAGCTACATCTGGCCTGTGAAATGAAAATAGCAAAACCTTTGATTGAGTCCAAGTTAAGTGGATCTTCATCATCTGCTCAGTCAACTTTTGCCAAGATGAATGATACTATGACAGTATTCTAATAATTTCTGAGGTGGATTCCCTCCTTTTTTCATCCATCTGCAAAGAACAAATTGCAAACACTTGGAAAATTTACTGCTCTGTAAGGGAAAAATTTTGCTCTTTTTGAACATATCCATGGCATTTCACTGAGTGAAATGGAGCGCTACCTGGAAGCCTGGTTCAACATAAAAACACAGACCTCAGTGTTGAAAAGGAGATCAGGCTTTTAAAAATGTCACAGTGCCTGTTTTTACATCGTTGATATGTCAGTGTTTTTCCTATAAGAAGTTGTTATATTTAACCGGACTTGGATATCTTCTTTTCAAAGAGCTTTATCTGTGGATAAAGTAGCCTGACAGAAAGAATACTCTCCATTTGCCATGTCTACCACAATGCAAATAAAAACATATCTTTACTAATACATTCACAACCGAGGTTATCAAACAAACAGAAACTTTGGCACTTAGAGTGCAGCTGTACAATGATCATTCATGTTATTCTGAAAATTTGCTGGAAAGCACTGGATTTCTGTACTTACCATACAGTGCATTGACTCTCCAAGTGCTGAAAGTAACTACTTAATGGCTCCAACATAATTTTCCATGTATGTATCAGTATTTCAGTATATCAGAAGATATTCAGCAGCCATGCAAAGCAGACACCCACGGCTTGCTTGCCACAGTGGCAGATACAGCACACTGGGACTCTGCTTCCCTCCTGGCCTTTCAGTTTCAGTGTAGGTCCTTTTATTTTTCCAAATGAGATAGTCAGATATCTACATAGTGATAGGAAAACTGACAAATCCTAGATAAGGGAGGCTACGACCCACCAAACTTTTCTCTCCCTCTGGGCTCAGGGAATAGTGAACTCTTCACCCGCCCCATTTCTGCAGAACATGCAGAGAGCATTTGCTTCACGACACACATTTAAGTAAGTTAGGGCAAGATTAAAGCTACAAGAGGTCAAGCAAAGCAATATGGATGGCTTTTTGCCAGGGAACCATGGTAAGACCTTGTTTCTCTCAGCTCTCCCCTTTACTGAAAAGTAAGAGTTTTACCACCCTGCAAAACAGCAGCCAAGCTGGCATTTCTCTTTCTCACTGTTCCTCACAGTCTGATGTCTGCCCTGGTTGGTTAAACAATACCAGTTCTTTCCTGATACAGGAGAGTAGAATAATGCTGTAGCCTGTCACAGATTTCAGTAATGGGATGTTTCTTTTCCCTGCATCAAACAAAATCATGTTGAGCTTTGTTTTCCTTGAGCTGATGAGCACATTTGACACTATCTTTGCCTCGTATCTATTCTCTCACTGGTTTAATTCCTCTGTTTTTCTCTCTTTTTTCTTCTGTCTTCTGTTTTTTTTCTCACTTTCTCTTTGTGTTCATTCTTTCTTAATCTCTTACTTGATTGCCTTCACCTTCTTCAGACCCACCTGCTGTCCCTGTCTGTCTGAGGTCATTCCTGAGGTGCTGCTGGTTGTCTCTCTCCCGTGGGAACTACAGCCACGGGCTTTATTTACTTCATCCTGCCCCAAAGCTGGATTGCAGCCAACTTCCAAGGTGCCTTGCTGCAGCCATGTGTCAGCATTTCTCCTGGACCACGGTGATTTTATTATGCCATGAGCTGAGATACCACCTTACCAGAGAGTGTAGAGTTATTTATCATTGTTAGATTTGACCCAAAGTGCTTTTAGGATTTTGGGGATCAGTTGGTGGCTTTGAAGATGAGGATAAATGCTTTGAAGGAAGGAATGATAGTTTTGAGCAAATCAGCTTTCTGTTAAATTATAGTCTGCTATAATGCAGCCTCCAACAATGACCACAGAAAATTATCTTTTCTTTTCCTGAGTCTGGCCTTAAGTAGTTGGAAACAATAGTACCAATAGATGGTTAAATAGATAGTTATGTATTACATTTTGTTATGGAGATGGAAAATACAGAGCGAAAATTTTATCATTGGGATTATTCAGAGACAGATTTTAGAGGGAAAGACTAGTAATTAGTCTCAGTTTAATCGCTAGTGGGAGATAGTTCACATTACCAAATGATTTGATGTTTCAGCACAAATGACAAACTGTGTTCAGAGAGGTCCAAGACTCTGTCAGCATGGCTGGAGACTAAATCACCTTTCCTCTTTATAGTAGATTGAGTTGTCCTTCCAAATCAGGGTTAAGGTCATTGGCAGGGCAGTCTGGGAATGAGAGCATCTGTCTGAAATATACCTGGACTGCGGATGTATTCAGAAATTCAATTTCTGACGCTGCCAGTCCCTTGACCTTCACAAGCACATGTGCTTACCAAAACCTATGAAAAGGAAAAAAAAAGAAAAAAAAAAGCCTCGATGTTTTTATTTGACTTGAGCTTCAAACTCCTGCGAATAGACCAGCAAGAGCTGCTGGATAGCATACATTACAGAGCCAAAAATAATCACGTGCTGTGGAGAAAAAGTGCATGCATTTTATCTTAATTCTAGCTTAGATGCTCTGTTTCCCTTCTTCACATGTACAGACAACTCTGCCTGCAAATTTTTTCAGGTCCTCTCATGCTCCATTGACGACAGCTAGACATTTGCTAAAGTCCTTGAGCAATCATGCCTTGTAGTAGATACACTGAAATTGCCACATCAAATAGACAAGCGCAGGAGTCCTAAATACACGTTTGAGCATTTTTCCCACAAGTTGATGTTGGGAGGGATGCTTTGCATATGCTGATGAAGTACAGACTTCCAACTGCCTGGGGAACCAGTGTCCCTCGGAGTTGAACGGTGGTGGCCTCTCCCGGGGGGCTGCAGGGCTCTGGAGGGCTGTGCTCACAGGGGCTACCTGCTTTAGCTCCGTGCAGCAACAGTGAGAGCCATATGTGGAGCTGCAGGAAAACAGATGCTGTTTTTCCATTTGTGAAATCAAGTTGTTGGAAAGTAGTCAGCTTTCCGATGTACAAGAGAGAGCTCATCTGATCAACCTGCAGAGACAGCGTGAGCTTGTTTTTTTAAGAAACATTTGTCAATATTTCCAAATTATTGGTGACTTAGAATAGTGAAAGAAATAATGGCATGGAAATAATCAGCTGATAAATGGCTTTAATAATAGGCAGGTTTTTGATGACCTGTGATTTTCATAAACAAAGGGGCTGTGCGACCTGGATTTTGACTGCCAGATCTGCTTCCAGGCATGCATCTCTAGATCAAGTGTAGGTTTACTGTAACATCTTGATTTATTATACAACAGATATAACCACTCAGTTAGATTTCTTCCTACCGTTAAACAATAACATTATTCCCCTAGAATAAAGTGAGACAGTGTTGTGTTCTCAGAGAAGCCTCAAACATGTTTGTGTTAAACCCAAAATAAATAGCTTTTGTTGGTTATTATCAACCAAAAATGTGTGCTTTAATAGTAAAATATCTAGCTCTTAAATAAAAAATGTTTATAATGTGAAGTGATTTTCTAAATCACTGTGACATAGTGAAATATAACTCTGTGTAATTTGACATCCTTTAAATATGCAATTTATCTTATCAGAAATGCAAAGATTTAAAGTATCAGCTGGCTCCAGTGGCTCCAGACTGATAAAAGGCATATTTTCTATTACTCTGATTAACAGGACAGTTTAAGATACTTGAAACAAACAAAGAAGACTTACTGGTAAATAGCAAACAAAGACTAGTGTCCTTTTACCAGGATTATGCTCTTTAAGACTGTGCCAAGATCTCTAGGATATTTTGTCAGCATGTTAGGATCCTTCACATTTCTCTGCAGTGTATCTACTTTCCACTATTTCAGAGCTATGGAAATCTGTCCTAACTTCAGTATCAAATCTACCTCTTTTCAGAAATATAGCCCTTCTGTTAATTGTATAAAAATTTAGGATATTAGTTGCAAAGAATTTAGGATATTAATCGCTCAGAATTACATCTTGGATGTCTAAAATAGATGGGGTAGAAAGTATGTAATCAGAAGTCAGACTTATTTGAATTTGTGTCAAAGGCAAAAGTTATGCTAAAGTTAACTCCAAAAGATTTAACTGCATGCAGATTTTGTCCATGTCTTTTGAATTTCTTTAATTAAACAAACCGTGTCTCACCATTGTGATGCAATCCTTGTTAAAGGTGAGGATCACTGTCACACCAGTGCAGACATCTCTGTTCAAACAAGGGGTCTTTTACAAATTGTAAAAGATGCACCAGTTCAGCTTACTTTGCCTTGACTCCCCACCAGTAACATTACACAAATTGCATAAATTAAGCTAATTCCATGTTAGTCCCTGGCACAAACAATCTTCTGGTACAATAACAATTTCTATAGAAAAGATAAAGATCATCTTTGCAGAGAATGAAGAAGATCTGAGATCAGTGAGCATCGAATGTTCACTTGCATTCAGAGAGCAAGGAACTTCCCACTGACTTTGCCTCCTCTAACCAGCAAGACAGGACGTGCACTCTGGGGAGGTCTGTATGGAACTGTATGTGAGTTTATCTTTTTCTCTCTCTTGAATACCCGCACTTGCAAACATGCTTAGAACTACACAAGGGGTAACAGCCTAAAACTGAACAAGGGTTGGTTTAGATTAGATGTTAGGAAGAAATTCTTTACTGCAAGGATGGTGAGGCACTGGAACAGGTTGCTCAGAGAGGCTGTGAGTGCCCCATCCCTGGAAATGTTCAAGGCCAGGTTGGATGGGGCCTTGAGCAACCTGCAAGGTGTTCCTGTCCACGACAGGGGCATTGGAACTAAATGATCTTTAAGGTCCCTTCCAACCCAAACAATTCTACGATTCTAAGATACTGTAAGGAGATACAGAGGTAGGACGTATGATACATATTATGTCACCATTCTTGTTACTTCTAAAAAAAAATATAGCTTCACCCTTTTGGGGAAAGGAAGAAAGGACAGAACACATCAGGCATGCTTACTCGTGCTGTTGGATGTTGGTCAGATGTTAAGATTAAGAAAGCAGTAGAATATAGAGCAACAAAGTCTGTAAAGCCCAGATTTCTTCAGCTGCACAGACTTCTATATCTTCACATTCCTACAGCTCCAAAAGCAAATCACTTCCATTCTTGTGGCTTTGTCAAATCAGAAGGAAATGCAAACTGAATATTCAGAAATGTTTTCTTGTAAGTGATATACCTTCATTCAAACTCTCAGCTTTTCTACTTCAGTCAATTAAACATTTGATGAAATTGTAATGGATATGCTTGCCTTAAAGAAGCAATGTCAGGCATAGGTTATATGCCTTATTTCACAAATGGAAGACACCACCCCATGCCCCCCTCAAAAAAAAATACTACCCTGGACAAATAAAATCTGATGGAGGGAATTTTCTGAAATTTTGTTGAACTTTGCTTAAGTCAATATTTTTTCATTCTTTATCAAATGATAGTAATGCTATTCTAGACAATGCACACGAATAGCCAAACTTCAGAACTCAAAGACATTTTAAGCTTCTGCCTAATTTTTTCTTTCATTTGGAATTGCTACTTCTCCTCAAGTGGAGGCATAGGTTAAAAAAAAAATCAAAGTATGAATTTGCTCCCCCATATTTCATAACCTCATTTACATAGCAAAATGAACTACGGGAGAGTGGGGATTTGAAAAGCAATGAAAGGTCTCCGAAAGCTGTCAGCTGCGTTTATTTTTGGTAGAAGAATAGCTTTTCTACAGCTGTTTGACCCATCTTGAAAATTGTGTATCTAAATTCCATAAGTCCCTGCTTATTTGTTCAGCTACAGTTCATACAAGCATCCAGACTTTAGTTATGTACTCAACTCATGGACATGCTAAGTCCATGGAGGCTCACCCATCACGGCTTTTTCATAGACATAATTCACGCTCAGTGAAACACAAAACTCTGAGCCAACATGGCTGCAAGTCTGGTCATCACTTTGGTTACACAGAGGTCAGGGGAAATGTGAACCAGTCATTCACAGTGTAAGGTGCATTTTCCCCTGGACAGTGATTTCAGGGCTAACTTAAAGGGCAACCCACCTGTCAGAGTGCAGGGCAGTGCTGGATTCACTCGCATTAGACTCTGTACTCCCAGCCATTGAGCTACATTGAGTTAGCACCAGTTTCACCTAACCCAATTGCCAGCTCCATGTGGGACTGCCTGAACATACAAAACCATCTGGGGTCTGATATGTGTCATGCTTGAGACTGCATAAAAAGCACTGCCCCACTCTTGCCCACGTTACTTTAAAAAGGGCTTTTTCAATGGCAATTATTTACATGATAAAATATCTATGGCAATTTTGGAGCTGTGGAGAAAGTAGCTGATGGGTAAGATTAACAAGACTTAGAAAACTTTTTCTATAGAAGATTAGCTTTTTTTTTTCCCTAAAATGTATCTCAAAGTCCAAATCTTTCTTTTTGTTTTTTTTTTAGCAGTTACTGTTTTTTGCAGCCAATTACAAGTCACTTGTAAATGAAATTGTCAGCATCCCAAAAATATATAAATAGAATTTAAACTATCCCATGAATGAGTCACTACCCTTGTGTCAGACTGGGCTAAGCAGAGTGGGTAGGTAGAACTGCTAAACTCTCAGTCAGACAACTGCTCTGTAAGCCATCAGTGCCAAGTTACTCCTGATGATTAATTCTGACTTATAGAAATATTCTTGACCTTGACTGCAACTCTTAGATTTTGTTTCTTATTGTTGTATGTGCATGGGGTTGTTTGGTTTGCTTTTTGAGTTTTTTTCTTGTTTTAACTTTATATCATGTTGGTTTGTTTTTTTTTTCATCTAATAAGAAAAAAAAGGAAAAACAGTTTGAATCGTGTCCTGTTGTGGGGACCAAGTTAATTAAAATCCTGATGTATATATACAGCTGATACTCCTCACCCTAATGAAGAACATTAATTCTAGAACATGTGTGGCTGTAGTCACATTGCTACAAATTACTGGACTCTTTCCTTTATCTGTTTCCAAGAAAGTCTCCCCCGGTTAGTTAGGAAAAAAGAAAAATATGATGCCTTAGTTCTAAGCAGCATAAATTACATGCATCAATCAGGGGAAGCTTAAATTAAAATACACATTTGGCAAACAAATATGAATATGTTGATCTCATCTGTGAATCAAAATGATTTAATGCCAGTACTGACCCCCCACTGATCAACATGAAGGTCACTGCAAACTGCTTGATTCTCATTGAGAAATGTTGTTGTGTCTGTTAAAGATGCAGTTTTATACATTCCCTAATGCTCAATCTAATCGGTAATTCCAATGTAGCAGAATTGATTTATTTCAGAAAGAAAATACAGAATTCATTTTTTTTATTTATGTAATCCAAAACAGATAGCTAAAT